TGTTGTTTGTTGTTGCCCTTGACACACATTTTGTGATCATCAAAACTTCTTTAAGCTTCAAACTCCTCTAAGCTCAACAATTTATTGGTATCAGGGCCAAGGTCATGAGTTCGATACCCAGCGGGGCAATTGCTGAGGGGGAGATTGTTGCGAGTTGCATCAATTGTCCCGTGGCGGAGGCTAGGTGGGCCAAGTCACTGTCGAATCATGGCACTTGGGCTGCTACGCTCTTAAGTAGAAAGAGTTGCGCCCTGACTATAAGCTATAGCTTTTGGCCTAGTGGTAAGCGCTCGATCCAACAGATGCTTCTCTTTCCTGCCTACTCTGTTTTAATTCCAGCGCTAATAAAAGGGCAGAGGAGAGAGAAAAATAGGATTGGAAGTTGCACGAAGAGAAGAACAGAGACGGGAAAAGAAAACAGAGCACCTTGGAGCTCGTGGGAACGCGGTTCTTAGGAGGATCTCTTTCTTCTACCTTTCTTCTTACTCTTTTGTGATTTCTTATTTTATGGAGAGATAAAACTCTAGGGTTGGGATTAATGTAATCATCGAACTCCTGTGTATTCCTTTTGGATTCTTTCCGTCTCTAATTTCCATTTTTCTAGTAGTGTAAGCGGGAGATTGTTGGATCCTTCATCCAATATTAATCTTGTATCTAAATAATTATATATTGAAGACTATCAATTAATAAGGTTTTGCTCAATTAAAATGATCTAATAAAATATAAATAGTTTGGACAGTTATATATCTAATAAGATATAAGTCTTTAATGTGTAGTAATTAAATAATAATTTTATTTTGTGATGATTTAAAATTGAAATATTAAAAGATAACTTTATGATTGTCTATAAATAAGTTATGTTCCCAAATAATAATATATTCTTTTTTTTTATAACATATTATTATTAGAAGGAGACAAAGAGATATCTATTTTTTTTTAAGGATGTTGATCTAAAATGTCAAATAAATTTTTTGTTTATCATTTTGAGTTCGGTATGTTTTCGCTTATCACCAACTTAGAAGGTTACAATGAATAACTGATATTTTAACATATCATGACTATATCACCTCAAAGCAAAGGAGAAAAAAAAAATAGTTACCAATTCTTGGGAGAGCGGATTCTACAGTTCACAAACAAAATAAAAGAACCACAAAAAGTTGTAGATCTTATTCTAAAGGAGAAACAGAAGTAATATATATATTCCTTTGGCATGTATCATGATGGTACTAAGCGGTGCGATTCATAATGTCTTGGTACAAAAGCAAAAGATACTCTCTTCATTAGGCTATTTTGCTCAATATTTTCTCATTGCTACCTCACAATCATTGCAATATATGGCCAACTTGGATAACAATCTATCTTTTCACTTCGAAAGGAAGAAATATTCGATTAAATTGTATCTCTACTTCACTCTTAATCTTTCCTCCACTCACATTTACGCTTTTCTAAATCTATAAATAATCGAATATTTGTATGTTTTAGCAGCAATTTTTCTATCTCAATGGAATATGGAAGCAAATGAACAATAAGTAAGAAGCACGTGATGATGTAGGTATAGAGAATATGCATGGTTTCATATAATATGTACAAATCAATTTCATTGCAATTAAAATAATACCAAAATCATATTTATAATATGTTTAGCTATATTAGCATAATTGATATTAAGAAGTAAAAGTTCTCATCCATTTGAAAATAACTATTAATAGTTTTTTCATCAAACAAAATCAATTATATAATTATATATTCAAAATCAATGTTAATAATAAATTTTTAAACAATATTTAATATGAAAATTAAGGAATTTTTTACCTATATATTATTTTTTTAAAAAAATTACTCAATTAACAACTGTGCAGGTTTATTTACCAAGTTAGAACCATTCACGCTTAGAAAAAATGATCAAAAATTTTCTTTAAAACGGGCCGCTTCCAACATCTATTTCAACGCTTAACGCTGGAACGACTCGTTCTCGGCCCGTTTCACTTTCAGAAATGTCACTCTGAGCCTTTAAGCAGAACGGCCCGTTCTGCTTTCGGAACGGGTCGTTCCGCTTCCAACAGCTGCCCACGTTTCCCCACATGCACGAAAAAAAAATAATATAAAACTAACTCAGATTTCGGTTCCCCGGAAACCGAATTCTGAGTTGAAAAAACAAAAAAAATAATACTTTGATGCTCAGAATTCGGTTCCCCGAGAACCGAATTTTGAACTTGAAAACTTGGTAAATAAACCTGCACAGTTATTAATTGGGTAATTTTTTTTTAAAAAAATAATATATAGGTAAAAAATTCGAAAATTAAGTTCATATCTTTTGTTGTCTAAAAAAGTCACATTACTTTTAATTCATATTTACTTAAAATTAATTTTACAAATTTACGTAGATTATAAACCAATTATATGAATGCATTTCTAAACACATATGTTTCATCGTTGAAAAACATGAATTAACATCGGGATGTGCACAAACTTTTGCAAAGGGGGATTGATTTTCAATCACAATCAAATTAAGATATCGGGATGAGGGATTAATTAACTATAAGTATATATATAATGCTAATTTATGTGAGAATTTCGTTATCTCTAGCTTTAGAAGAAACAATATTAATGGAACATTGGTCAAGAATAAAAGAATAAATTAATATAAATGGCTATTGTAATAGAATAATCAGAAGCGACAACAGAATAGGCTATATTGTGAATGCATTAAAATAATATAGCTTTATTAGATCATAATCTTTTGCAGGACATTACTGAAGGAAACATTATGGTTAAAGCGTGCTTACTTTGCTATCATTTCTTGGATGTGGAAAAAGAAACAATTCGGTGTAAAGCAAAATTAATTAATGCCGTTATAGGGGGCACATTATGCAAATCAGAACTATACACAGTCACTTTTCCGTAATAATTGGATTTACTTTCTCTTTAGTGAGTGGACCGTATATGGTGTTTTGTGTTGGGTAAAATTATTAGAGAAATTGGGTGAAAATCAAAACTTAAAACCTTAAAATAAATCCATTCTTATATACTAAATACAAATAATAATCTTCCACGAGTACTTTTAAGAAATTTTTTTAATTAAAAGATTTGTAAGAATTGTATTCATTTTTTTATTTAATTTAATTTTTATTTATCATAATTATATAAAAATTAAATATTAATTTAAAATAAATCATCACTAAATAAAAATGCATTTTTATAATATTTAATTTATTGTAAATTTAAAACATACTTTATACGATTAAAAAATCTATTTATATAAGTTTTAATTTATATATTTAAATATAATATTTATTTTTATATATAAATTTTAGTTATATAAAATGAATATATCTGCGATTTGTATAGATTAAAATACTATTTAGTTAATTAAATTAAAATATATGATAAAATTATTTATTTAACTAACCAATATATAACTATAAGAGAAATAATAATAGTATATTCTTTAATTCATTTTTAACATTACATAATATTTTTAAAAGAATAACCGATCAAGTTACTTTATGAATAATAAAAGAGTTACTTTTTTTAATTATAAAATTATACTCTATTTTATCAAACTAGTTAATTTAATTGAATAAGCTTTTAAACTACTCAAATAATTAAGTTAAAAAGTTAGCCTATATATTTACCTTAATAAACACATACTTGTATGATATTCAGTTGGAGGAAAATGAAAGAGAGATATTTTTTTTAGAAATACTTTTTTAATTTAGTTCAATTTTCCGGAAAAAGGAGAGGAGAATCGACCTCTTCTCATTTAATTTTGACTCCCACTGATACGTGAGAGGATTTGGAAGTGAGTGAATATAGATTTTAAAACATTTTTTAAGTATCTCATGTCTACATTTCCTTCCTCACTTTTCCCTTCCATTAAAATGTCTCACATTTTTTTCTTTTACGGAAATATTGAAAGATTTCAAAGAAAATTTGAGATTTTAGGATTATTTACACGAAGTCATAAATTTAGGCCACCACCAATAATTAATATAGTTTGCATTATTCTAAATTAGTTATATATTAATCAAATTGAACTATCAGCAACATAAATAAAAACATTATTCTTTTACTACCCTGGACAAAAGTTTACATTTTTACAATGGATAGTTCGTGCTAATTGAGTTTCCGAGTAACTTCACTTCATAAATCAAAATTTAAGTTGAGCTTTGTGATCTAGATTAAAATTGTCCTAATTAATCTTGAAGTATATAGTAAATATAGAAACGAAAAAAAAAATATATGAATGAGATAAACCCAAAATAATTAATGTAAACCTACACTCCTCTAAAGTTTCTTCAGTTTCGGAACATCAAAATAATATATTAATGTTGGTCGCAAAAACGTGGATATTGACATTTGACGGTCTACAATGTAGAATATACCATGAATTATAGTTACTATACATTTTTAACTACCATGTATGGTCATGATAGCATATGATTGGTCACTTATCCATTAATTTATTTGTTTTTTATACAAATATTCTCGTACCAAATAACTTCTCAATGTTATATAATGCACGAGAGCTGTAATTAGAAGCAACAATTATGTTGCTTGCATTCATGTCCTTAATGAACACCTATAGCTGCGCTATGATGCTCAAAACATTTTTAATTAAACATATCTTTCTTACTACAATTTCACATTAGAAATATTTTATTTAACAAAAAATTATGTTTGATTTGAGTCATATGTTAAAATTCTTCAATTCGGAAATAATCACATTTTTTAAGCAAATTAAACTAGTTTTTTAGCCGATAGTAATGATTTATTAATTTAACGAAAAAATTTACATTCAAATTTAATCATGTGTTAAAATTTTTTGAGTCAACAATACATATATTAGTACAAACAAAATTAGTTTCTAACAAGTACTACGCCAAATAAGACTTAATAAATAAAACACAAGTTAATTAACATTATCTTTAGGAACTAGAAAAAAAAAATGCCTCTACTTTGCCATGTCTCATAATGCAACCCTTCTCTTTATTCTGTTTAAAATCCACCCCCTAAGCCTCTTTCAACGTGTGAGAGAAAACACACTTCTATTTTCACACACTGACAAACACACAAACAATAATGTCGAACCATAATGGGATGCATCACAACAACGTTGTTGAAGACCATGAGGCTCTCATGTTCCAAACCTACCCGTGTGCATACTACGTCCAAAGCCCCTCCACTCTTTCTCATGCCAACAGTGCAGACATACGCAGCAACATCCAAAACGATGCCGAATCCACTTTCCAATCCCCGAACCGATCCGAGACCCACCCGCTAAACCCGACCCACGAAGAGGACGAAGCCTCACGCTTCGCTCTCTGTCGCTACTCTTCCTCTCGTGGCTCTAGCCACTCCTTCTTGCACCACAAGAAGATCTCCTACGATGGTAGTCATGCTACCGTTACTGAAAATGGCGATGTCAACCATATGGTCATTGTTGACAGTAACGGTAGCAGACACGTAGGAGATGAGAAAGAAGATGAAGAGGAAGGGTTGTTCTATGAGTATTATTATGGTAAGGGAAATGGAGGGTGGAAGAGGTACTTCACTTACCGTAACTCGGATTCTTTAGCTTGGATTTGGTTGCAAATGAGTTGGAGAATTTTGTTGAGCTTTGGAATTGCATTGCTTGTGTTCTACATTGCTACAAAACCTCCACCTCCCAATGTCTCAGTTGAGGTATTTACACAACAAAATTTATCATCATTCTATCTTTGGTACATCTAAGTAAAAATATAATTTTAATGAAACTTAGACAAATGGTTTTATTGAAAATTTGTTATTTACTTAATAAAATAAATAAATGTTAAGTGCTTGTGTTGTTTCTCTTGATGTAATTAACTTCATAATTATGATAACTATTGTGCATGTACACTATAATAGAATGTTGTATTATATCAATATGGGATATATTGATAATATATTAATTGTTTACATTAATAAAACCATTTGTTAGTTACAAAATGATATTGCTGATAAAAACTTGTAATATTTATTGTAACAATTAAATTTATGCTACATTATGTCAAAAACAAAATTAAATTTATGCTATATTAAGGTTATATCAAATTTGTAAGATCTGATACTTTTGACATCGATCTCAAAAGATTAACCGTGAATTTGAGCAAGACATGGTTTAGGTAGCTTATTTTAAATTATTCATAGCTGAAAGAATTCTTTGTTAATACGTACCACTCTGAATAAAAGAAAGAAAATGTTGAGGGAATAAAATTTTATTAAGAAAATGTTCGAAAAGAGGAGGGTGAGAACTACATAGTTTGTTAGTCACGTGTACGATATAACTTCAACCATTTTGAGACCCACAAAGGTGTATACCATTTCTCTTCCACCAACTAGCTCAATCTAATGAAAGAGGTTGTGTATCCCTAGTCCCTAGATAGTGTTTTGAACTAAAGTTCGAATTTTCTTGAAAGAATTATATATTTATTGTCTGATTGTGCATAGAAACAATTATATATACCTCAAAAGAATAATTCATGTAGGAAATAAATAAATAATACCATATAGTGCACATGACTACAGGTTGTAATGTAGGTGCAATCATTGCCTAAAATTAGATATGGATTTATCTATTTCATCTGTTTGCCATAAATTCATCATGCTTCTAACTTTTGACTGTTAGTTGTGTTGGGGATATCATATCGCCAAAAGAGTCTTCACTTGGTACACAAAAATTGACTAATCAATTAATGTAAAATATAATTTTATAAACTTTTGTCTTTTAAAATTTATATTTTTTAAATTAATAACTTTATTATATTATATACAGTATACTAATTCATGTACATTATTGATGTCGCCATTAATTTGCAGATCGCAAGGTTTCCAGAATTTAAACTAGCAGAAGGGGTGGACAGAACTGGGGTGACAACAAAGATCCTGACCTGTAATTGTTCCTTGAATTTAATCATAGAGAACAAATCCAGGTTCTTTGGTCTTCACATTCGTCCTCCTACGATGGACATGAAATTTTCAAACTTACCCTTTGCATTTTCAAATGTAAGTATACTGTCAATTTCTTTATTATTATGTGGTATTTTATAATAAGGTTGTTTAATATTTGGTTGAGATAGTTAGAATCATAAAGTTTATCTTTTATATTTTTTTATAACTTTTTATAATTTTTTCTCACTTTTTTTTAAAAAAATCTTGTTAAAAATTGAATAAATTATATTTTTGATCTTCTTATATTATCAATTCCCTAATTTGGGTTATTCTATTTTAAAAATTTACAATTTTAATCTTTCAATTTTATAAAATCTGTAACTTTTATTCTCTTGCTGAATGTTCATGTGTTAGGTTATAATTCCAACATTTATTGTGAACTAGCATATATAAATAACATAATAATTAATATTTAATAATAGTTAAGTTAAAATGCACATTCAATTATAATTTTTATTTTATTTTATTTTACTTTCTTTTATTAGATAAAAATGAAATTTAAAAGTAAAATTAACCTGAATATTACTAAATATCAATCATTATATCTTATGCTTAATGTCAAAAATAATTATTACAATTTTAGTGAGAGTAATGTTTTGGACTCTGAATCAAAGTTCTGACTCAACTTTCTGAACCATTCAGTGATTTACATCTGTAAAATATTTGAAATAAATTATTTTTTTAATTTTATTATTTTAAAATTTTAAACATTCGGAGGATTTTTTTGACCAAAATCTTTTGGAAGATGCATCATTTCTGTTTTAATGATAAACAAGTAAAAATTCAACGAGATGACTACATTTACAAATTATATATATTTTATAAAATTGAAGGATTAAATTTACATATTTAAAAATAAAGAAATCAAAACTATAAATTTAATATTATAAAGTGATTAAAATGAAATTGTCTTAAGTGAATTGAATCAAGTACCATTTAGATCAATAATTTATTAGTGAAAAATAGTCTGTGTGCTATATTAAATATTAAATAAAATAATAAAATTTTTAGTTTTGAAATTGTACCTTACTACTATATTTATATTAGTTCTTAAAATTAAGAAAAATTTAAATAAATTCTTAAATCTTTTAAGGCTTTATTTAAGTTTCTATGATTATTTTTTTTTTCATTTTGATCCATATAAATATTTTATTATTACTTAAACCCTTGAACTAGCGACAAAAGGTAAAAAAGTGGTTAATTTTATTTTAGAGATTTAAATGAAATCATAAAAAAAAATTCAAAAACTAAATGGGTCATTTCTTCTGCTATAAAAGCACGCGTGCACGCGCGCATATATATATATATATATAT